GGTCTCCCTACGGGGGAAGGGAAGTTCCCCCCTCCCACCGCTGGCTCGGCGCATCCCCTTTGTCTGCAGCTGCGGCAGACTGTCCAAGGGCTGAACGGGGCCTAGGGATCGGCAGCCCCTCTCAGCCCTAGAGATGCTGCTGCCAGGTCAGGTGACAGACCCCCGCCGGGGGCTAATTCTTCAGTCCCACATGGTGGTTGAGTGGCTGGGGCCGGGGGAGAGGACTCAGGAGACCTGCGTTTTACTCTGTGCCTCAGTTTCCCCTCCCATCTTTACTCGCTTTAGACCGGGGTGGGGAACCATTTTTGAGGCAGGGGCCGCTGACCCACAGAAAAAACAGTCAGGAGCCGCACGCCAGGGAGAAGCAAAAAAAAAAAAACCCCTCACTGACCGAGGAGGAGGAAGACACTCTCCCCACATCCCCCGAATGTGCTCCAGCCCCATGGTGGGGCAGCGGAGGGGCCTGAGCACCAGCGCGGGCTCCCCAGTGCTAGGGGGGCCCCTGAAACTCAGGGGCCGGATCCGGCTCCTGGGCCTGAGGTTCCCCACCCCGATTTAGACAGTAACTGCGAGGCAGGGGCTGCGTCTTGCTCTAGAGACGTAGAATTCCCTGCACACGGGGCCCCTGCTGGCTGCGGAAGCCCCTGGGTGCCCCGATAATACATCTAATCACGGAGCCCAAGGAGGGCCGTCCGCAGCTGCTACCCTCCCTTCCTTCAGATGCCTCCGCTACCGTGCGGCCGGCGACGGCTGGGGGCTCCTTGGGACAGCTGGTGCGCTGGCTATCGCTAATTGCAGAGATATTGCTGTCGGGAAGGCTGGGTCTGGCTGATTAGCTCCTTCCCGCTGGCCCTGCCCTCTCCCCACTTCATCCCCGACTTGTCTTCGGGGACTGTACGTGTGCCGGGCGTCGGGACAGGCGCCGCAGCTTCCCGAGTGCAGGGCCCTGCCTGGCGGGGCCCCGCTCCCGACCAGGCCAGCGAACGGCTCCTGGGACACAAATCTGAAACAGGACGAGGACGATTCCCCCCACCCCCAGTGCTTCCGGGAGAGGCGCCTTCCAAGCGCCTGCGTTGATTTCTCGCTACTGTTGTGTCGGCAGGGCTCTGAGGGCGTGGGGAGCCCGGGGGTGGACGGGGAGGGGGCTGCAGGGCAGGAGGGAGGGGCGTGGGAAGAGCAGGGGAGGGGGGCAGCCCGAGGCTGGGATAGCAGGTGGGAATGTGCCGAGGCCGGGGCTGGAGCCCCACCAAACAAAGAACTTGCCACTAACCCCTCCCAGCCTTTCCCAGCTCGCACTGCCCAGCACAGACGGGTGCGGAGCTGCCAGAGCGCCAAGAGAAATGCCCCCGGCGTGCCCAGGCCCATGCGGGCAGCTAGTGGCTCTCCCCCCATCAATGCCATGGGGAGTCTGGGGGGGAATGGCTCCCCCCCGGCC